CTACACACACACACACACACACACACACACACACACACACACACACACACACACACACATATTCCTTCCTTTGTATAATTAATAAAATACTCGAAAACAAAAGATTAAAAGATTATTATAATTTCTTAGTTGATTTATTAAATCAATTATATTTTAAATCAAAATATTTTCTTACTACTTTTAGCGATTGATATCGTGATCGATTGAAAAAGAGACAAATTCGGAGGAACCAAAATCATGATATCGATGCGAGCCGATAAATGCTTTCTCTCAGCATTTATATTGTTCATTAAGACATCGTGATTCTTAATTGCAAGCTGCGAACCATCGTGATCTCCTTCATCGCGCGCGCAGACGACCAGAGACATTCGAGGCAAAACGATCGTAAATCGTCTCGGGCCAATAGGATAGTGGCGAAGGTAGCGTTAGGGCTTTACAATCGGCGGCATTGGGCAAAGGGTCTGGTCCACATTGGCGTGTCCAATCCCTCGCGAGATGCCCTCGGAGCGATTACTTTCGCGGCCTTAACTCGATCGTTCATGCTAATTTCATAACAACTACCCTCGCGCCAATGGGCGAGCACCGGCTTAGACACGAGTCAGAAACGATGAGCGGCTCTCAGAAGGAAGGGAGAAACGAAACTAAAGAGGTTTGAGTGGATCCACCTTCTCGAGCGGAGGTAGCGAAAGACAGCTATTTTGCGTTGAGACGCATGTTCGAATACTATAGGCGGGTCGTAAAATGGAGAGTTCATCCAAGGCTTTTAAGGGAGGTAGGAGAATAATAGGTGTGTGCCAAGAGCTGCTGCGAGAACTTTCCATATGGAGAACAGGGGCTGCCAGAGCTAGGGGTCATCGTCATCGCGTGTTGTTATCGCGGTTGAAAGTCGCGACCATTTAAAATTAACTCGCATTATGGAGAACTTATTAACTTACCCGATTAATATAATAACTAGTACAGTAATATCGCATCATGCGAGTTTACATCAAGAGAAACCTTTAAATGCCAAGATATTATATTATTATTATATACTGATACTGATATTATTGATCGACGAAAGAAAGGTTAACAACAGATTTATTTTGAAAAATGTATCTGACAACTGTATCTGGTAACTGAAATATTTAGATAAAAAAAATTTTCTAAAGAACCTTGAACACTTTTATGTATAAAAGTATTTGCTTATCATTCAATTTTTCAATTAATGTCCACTTTATTGTGTAAGAAGAAGTATGTCAAAATCAGCGAGATGACAATATCGTGTACGCAATAATTTAGATTAGAATACTTTCTATTAATATAAAACTTAATAAAAATATGAACGTTATATGAAGAAAATTATAATTAACTGCAATAAGATGATTAAACATTTCATTAAGATATAATAAATCAGACAGAATCATTTTGCGCGTAAGTCTCAGATTCTCGCTATTATATTAATTACAATTCCGCAATCTCTTCGAATAGATTTTTATGATATCGATCCATATTATACTGAATAATGTGTAGCATTTTCTAAAACTTGTTTTAACTTTAATTTAATTATATAACAATCATTATCAAACGTTTATTGCACTGTGTATGACACGATATTGAGCTCTATCTCTACATTCATTATTAACGTCAGGATTATATTGTGTAATATAGGAGAGGAAGGAGGATGTATAATTGGAACGTTGCGCACGTATTTTCGGACCAGTGAGCCCGAATCGACATTATTATCAATGTAAGGGTCCGCGAGAGGTAGAAGAAGGCGATGCAATGCAATAATATTTCGCGTTTCGCCATTTTTTTCTCATCCTCCAAAACTCTGTTGAGCTCATCGCCGAGTCGCCGCGACTCGCCGGTGGCTCTCCCAACTCAGCCGTGGGTATTAATTTCACGAGAGAAAGAAAGAGAAACGAGGAGAGAAAGGCGGGGAAGAAGAGAAGCTGCTGGACGAGCAGCAGAGAGGGCAGGGACGCGGCAGAACAAAACGACACTGAAGACCATCTATGAGATGAGAAAATAATAATAAAGTGGAAATGAGCGAGCCGGTCCATAAATTGCTCCGCTCCTTGTTAATGGTCTGGAGGCCCGAGGCGACCTCAGCTAAACGTGGCCCGGTCTGACCCGGCTTCGACTGTCTCTTTCTCCTTCACTCTTCCATCTTTACTCATTCTTCTTATCTCGCTTCGCTTCGGATCTCTCTTAGTCTTGGGCCCGACCGAAGAGGATCTGGTCCGACTCGTTCAAGGCGTTCTTTCTCTCTCTTTCTCTTTCTCTTGGAAGACTCATTTCTGTGCTTAATGGACGTCCAGAGATGCTCCCCCTCCATGTTGAATCTCTGGACTCTTGAGAGCCAGAAAGAAGGACTAAAAGGATCCAGAGGATACAAAAGATACACGTCGATGGTAGGTACAACCTGTGATTGGCGACCAGGCGTGGCTCTACCGACAGATATCCGCTCCTTTTTAAATGCACCAAAATCAAACGCATTAAATGCAAGT